AAAGAAAGAAAGAAAGAAAGAAAGAAAGAAAGAAAGAAAGAAAGAAAAAATACCCTCCCCTCTCCCAACCTTCTGCCCTCTCCACCACCCACCCAGCACCCAGCTCTGCAGGCTTTCCCTCCTGATTCACGGAACACAGGAAGAAAACACTCATGTTCTCACCCTTACTGAAAGGCGCCTCTAATTCAGTATGGGCCACCCCTCACCTGCCACCCATGTGTCCTTCCAGCAATCCCCAGAGCCCAGAAGCCATTGGTTTCTCCTGCCCTGCCTAGTTCAGGGAGGGCAAGTTCTGCACCACCCTGTTATAATATGGCTTTTTTAAAACTTTTTTTTTTTCAAGACAGGGTCTCTCTGTGTAGCCTTGGCTGTCCTGGACTCACTGAGATCCGCCCGCCTGCCTCTGCCTCCCCCAGTGCTTGGATCACGGGCGTGTGCCACCACGCCTGGCATAATACTGCTTTTTTTTTCACCTGGTCATCTCATGGCCATTTTGGAGTACAGTTTAGTCCAGGAACCATAGCAACCAGCTGAGCAAAACAATACAGGGATAACTGGCTTCATGGTGATGGCTACTGATACCTTCTAGCAGAACGGGCGAGGAGGCAGAGCCACAGTTGGGAGTCCAGCCATTCTCTTCTTCCTTCCTCCAACTACAAGTGATCTTGGGAGCTGCTAGAATGTACAGAAAATGGAGGGCTAGCAGAACGGGTGGCCCCATCATGGGACCTCCACTAGATCGTCACCCATGACCGGGTGGGACTACTCAGGGTACAGCTATGCTGGTCACCCTTGCTCCTGAAAGGCATCCTTTACCCGAACTATGTAAGTAATTTCAATAAACTCACTGGTCCCCAAGTTGCACATTTATGGAATTGTTGCTTTGATCTGTCTGTGAGTTTATCTGGAGGAAACACATGTTTGTCATATCTATTGAGACCAGGCTGCACTATACTACATACTGTTAAAAAAAAAAAAAGCAATGACTGTTTTGGACTGTGCCTTTTGCCCTGAGAGACTCCTAAGTAAACTCTGACTCCATCCTGAGGATCGGAAAGGCTGTAACCCTGGGTGAACAGATAATCGGGACTATGCCTCCAGCATTACTCGTGAGGCACAAGCCTATAACTTATTCCCAGGAGCAGAAAATGTGCCACTTATAAATTTATTGGAGTGGATTGAGAACATAGGGGAACACGGGCCTATTGAAATTGTATCAGGACGTGAGTCTCAGCATCTGCTTCGATCCCCTGTTGGGTGGAGCCTTTCAGAGGACCCTCTTTACTAGGCTCCCATCCTGTTTCCTCTCTTCCACCACTTCTGGTGTCATCCTGCCGGCCATTCTGAATGAGATTGAAGCATCCTCCTTAGGGTCCTCCTTAGTGTTTAGCTTCTTTGGGTCTGTAGATGGCTGTCCTGTGTTACACAGCTAATATCCACTTAAAAGTGAGTGTATGCCATTCCCGTCTTTGTGATTCTGGATTACCTCACTCAGAATGATTTCCTCTAGTTCCATCCATTTGCCTGCAAATTTCATGATTTCCTTGTTTTTTAAGGAAAGCTGAGTAATATTATGGAAGAATAGAGGAGTGGGAATAAAGGGACATGAAGGGGACAGAAGCCCCACAAGGAGAAAATCAGGCTGAAGAACTTAAACACGCCAGACTGAGAAAGGGTGCAACACCCTGACTTGGACCCAGAGGAAGGGCGGCGAGCACTTCAACCGCAAGAGTCCGCACCCTGTCATCAGACACCTAGAATATGCATCAAGGACCAGCAGGGCGAGTACCCTTGAGTGTCCCTGAGATTCCGTTCATCTCTGTCCCTGCTGCTGGCACAGACCACCCACCTGCTGCCTGGCCACCCTCCTGCCTGCCTGGCTAACCCTGCCACCTATCCACCCACCAGCTCTGGCTACAGACCTGATCCTACCCTTTAACCTCTCCACTAGACTCATGGCTGCAAGTTTACTCTCCAACCCTGTGAGCAACAGCAGCCTGACTGACAGGGGAAGCCTTGTAACTGTCTCTAACTTGAGTTCCTTATCTCATCAACATAGATGCAGCCCTCTTTATCCCTGTGTATCTATTCAGTGCTCAAACACACGTGTGTGTGCGCACAGCCGTTCATGCATCTGTGTGTGTGTGTGCATGTGTGTGTGTTTACCCTGTGATAGATGATATGAGAGTTAATATTAGTAATTAATATTGGAAAAAAGAACCTGAATTAACCTTGGCCCAATTACCAATCTGACAAATTGCTATCATTAAGATTGCTTTGTAGCAGGGGTAGTGGTACAAGCCTTTAATCTTAGCACTCAGGGAGGCAGGAGAATCAATGTGAGTTCGAGGCCAGTCTGGTCTACAAAGCAAGCCCAGGACAGCCAGAACTATTCAAAGAGACCCTGTCTTGAAAAAAAAAAAAAAAAAAAGTGTGTGTGTGTGTGTGTGTGTGTGTGTGTGTGTGTGTGTGTGTGTGTTATCTCTGCTGCTGACATAACATGCTCAGGACAATGACTTTTCCAGGAAAAGTTAACATAACACACCCCTCCTAGCTCCCAAGAGATTCACAGTCTGGAAGGACAGGTCTAAACTGAGAATCCTCCACGTCTCCCATATATGCATGAGAACAGTTGGACACACTGCTCCAAGCTTCACCCACACCCTCCCTGTACCTTCCCAGGCCAGTCTTTAAAAGAGTGGGAGGAGGCTGATGGCCTTCCTGCCCGTCACAGGGAGCCCCAAATCTCACCATCAGAGATGTTGTCCCAGTAAGGAGCAAGGAACTCGAACTGTCCCTGTTGGATGATGTTGAAGAGCTCGTCTTGGTCCCTCTCAGGACTGCGGAAGGGCGGGAAGCCACACAAGAGGATGTAGAGAATCACACCTGCAGCCCACATGTCCACCTCCAGGCCATAACCTGCAAGAACACAGACACAGGAAACCCGTAGACAGGCAGGTCAAAGGTGGCAAACTCTATCTCTTGAACTGAGCAACAGCAAAAACAGAAGATCCTTCCTCCCATAAATTGGCATTTTGTCACAGCAAAAAGAAAAGTAACAAATATGACAAGTGGTTATTATATAACTTATTGGACGTGCGTGAGCTATGCAAAGTGGCTATCCTAGTTAGCTGCAAGGGTCAACTTGACATAACCCAGAGCTCCCTGAGAAGGGAGTCCTAGTTGTATGTGAGCCTGAGAGCAATAGCTATAGAAAATTGTCTTGATTATTAATTGATGTAGGTAAAAAAGGGCCAAGGCCCCTGTGGACAGTACCATCCCTAGGTTTGAGCTGAATAGGAAAGCTAAGCTGAGCGCAGTGGTACACACCTGTAATCCCAGCACTCAGGAGGCAGAGACAGGTGAATCTCTGTGAGTTCAAGGCCAGCTGGGTCTACAAAGAGAGTCAAGAACGGCCAAAGCTACACAGAGAAACCCTGTCTCAAAAAGAGGAAGGAAGGAAGGAAGGAAGGAAGGAAGGAAGGAAGGAAGGAAGGAAGGAAGGAAGGAAGGAAGGAAGGAAGGAAGGAACAAAGAAAGCAAGCTAGTTAAACCTGAGCCTCTGAGCAAGCCATAGAGCATAATTCTCCCTCGGTTTCTGCGGGATTTCTTGGTTGTGAGCTTCTTGGTTAGAATAGCAAGCAGTCTGCCTTCGGGTTCCTGCCTTGCATGTACATGCTGACTTCTCTAAGTGTTCGACTGTGACCTGGAAGTGCAAGATGAAATAAGCCTTTTCCTCACCTAAGTGGCTTTTGGTCGTGGTGCTTGCCACAGAATGGAGCTAGAACAAGGATGCCCCTTGAGGTTTTTCTAATCATCCTCCCACAAACAGGCATGTACACATTTGCAAGAACGTTCTGACTTCTCATGATTAGGGAATGAACACAGCTGGCAGCTTTAAGTGGACGCTAGAAACTCATTACTAAGCCTCAAGGTGAGTTTATCAAGACACAAATCAATAAAAGCCTAAGGTGAATTAAAAGTCCCTGATGCCCCCTTTGGGGGCAGCTCAGTGATGACTGTTCAATACTCGAGGACTGTAAACTCTCGGGACACAGAGTCTTCTGGCCCTGGCCCTGGCCCCTCTTAAAACTTTCCCTTAGCCTCTGAAACTTGGTCTTTCCCAATCCACTTCCATCTTCCAAGTAGCCCAGCCCTCTACTGACTGCCTTCCCTCCTACCCGTGGCTTCCCTAAATCCAAACTTACCTGTCCTTGTCCTGGCATCACTGCAGAGCCACGAGCTCACCAGTTCAGCCACCAGATTGAAGAGTGCCCCTATGATACATTTATCCAGGGCTTCCCATCCTTGCCAAGAGGAGAACAGTGTGGGTCTGTACTGATGTCTCTCTATTAGTGTGATGAAAATTTAACTTCTCCCACCTGTGTCCCCAAAGAACCTTTTCCCAACACCCTATTTTAGCTGGTGTGCTTTCTCCACATTCCTGCTAATTTGCTTTGTCTCTCATTGAATTCATCTTTGCTTCCAATAAAATGTGCTGTCTTTCGGGGTTCTTTTATACTACTGTTACCACAGTACCATGGCCATGACACCTGGCATTCAAAAATCTGAACAATTTCTGTTTGGGATAAGTCTAGGCTCAGCCTGTTAGCATTTAGGCAGCCTGCTTCTGGGTTGCCTAGTAACCTATGTCATCATGTGTCTCCTGACAGGTGTGCGGCATCTCTCCCTCTCTCCTACTCTCTTTTCTCTGTAGGGGCACCCCTCTCTCCCGCCCCTGCCATGTGTCTCTCTCCTTCCCCTTCTCTCTCCACCTCCATCCAATAAACCTCTTCCGTATAATAACTGTTGTGTGCATCGTTTCTAAAATAATAACACAGCCTACCCAGCCCACTGACTCTATATCCAGTGAGACTGGTCTTCTCATGTCTCTGCTCCCTAGTCTCACGCATGCGCTGCTTCCCAGATGCCTGCTGATGGGAACTACCTGTGCCTTCTGCCTATAGCCAGGCTTTCGTCCCACCCAGAGCCTCTCTCAGCTAATGGGTAAATTCGCTTCACGATGAAACAGCTGCCAAGTTGTCCTCCATCTATTTTCTGTTTACACACTTTACAAAGCATGTTGCCAAAGTAGTTCATTGAATCCTCACAAATGAGAAATGAATATTCATAGAGTTTGAAAGGAGATCTCTTTTGCCTTTAAGTGGAGGTTGCCGGAGGAATTTTTAAACTTTTAGCATAGGAAATGTTTCCAGCCTCTCTCATAGTAGTAGGCTTGGGTTCCAATGGCCTTCCTGGAATAGATTTTCTCTCCCAGGTCTCCATCTTTCATCTCATTGTCCTGTTTCTCTCTCTCTCACACACACACGGATGCATGCACACACACAAATAAATAAACTTTTTTTTAAAATCAGGCCTGAGTTCCAGCCTCCTGAGATTTTGTAACTGCTCCTTGTGGGAAAGACTAAGTAAGGCATTTACTGATTTCTAGGCTTGAGGAGCAAAGAGCCAAGGGCCACACTTACCTTTCTCAGAGAGAATTTCAGGAGCTACATATGTCGGCGTTCCACACACAGTAAATATAGGCCTCACCACATGCTTGGCCAGCCCAAAATCAGCCAGCTTCAAGGTGGTAGAGTTGTCTTCATTTCGCTGAACCTAGAAGGAATCAAGACATCCCCCCATTAAAACTGCGATGGAAACAAAGAAGGGATACTGAGACAGTGTGCATTTGCAACCAGGTCAAAGCAGCCATGCCCCATGGAAGCTCACGGGGAGAGACACACCTGGCCTGACCTCAATGCGGCTGCTCACAGCTTCAGCCAAAGGACTGTGATGCCCAGTAACAGCACTGTTGCGTTATCAAGTGGGGTGTTAGAATTCCGAGATTAAAACCCGGTTTCTCAGCTGCACTGGGCACACATGTTTGTCTGAGGGCAGCCCATGAGTTGGGCACCGTGCTGGGCAGGGCAGACAGAAGCTATTTCTACTGGACAGCACTGGATTCTGGTGAGGGCCAGTGGCACTTTGCGCATAGACAGACTCATGTAGGAACAAACAAATGTCTTTTTTTGTAGGGACAGTGAGATTCTCGGTGGGTGAAGGAGCTTGTCATTAAAACTAAGAACCTGAGTTCAACTCCCAGGGCCCATAGGATGGAAAGAGAGAGAACCTGACTCCAGCCTCCACCTACAAGCACAAACCCCCACCCCACTGCAGATAAATATGTGTTACACTCCACATGGAGCAGACGATGAGGATCAAACCCAGTACTATCTTGCTCCAACTTCAAGATGCGTGGGACCACCACAGGGTGTGAGCTGATTCCGTCTGGGAAAAACATTAAAACAACCAGACACAAACTCAAACTCCAGCCTTCGTCAATGTTAGCAAGCGCCTACCCAAGTACAGCCAAAGATCACAGTCCACATCACATCCCAAAAGCCAGTGGACAGCCCTGGATAAAACAGGGCGGTTTTATCCAAGAGAGAAAGACTCACTGTTGCTGCCATACTTGCAAGAGGAACACTGGCTTGTCTGCAGCTCACACTCTGTGTTCCTATTCGGTCTGAGCACAGGTGCCCCGTGTGCCCATCAGCACTTAGGGGTGAGGGCAAGGATGAATGGTGGGTCTCCCTGTGCCTGAGTCATGGTGGCAGCTGGCAGTGAAGGCTGGGGTGGCCATTTTGCCTCTCCTTGCCAGGTAGATGGTTAGGTGCTTGGGGTCTTTAAGGATGCACCCCTCCCTTGGAAAACCTCCTGTTAGGAACATACTATTGTGATCTCCCAGAATTCATCCACAGGCCTGTTAATCACCTGGAGGTTGGGGGGAACTTCAGGGAAAGCTGTTTATTCTAGAGACTTTAGAAATAGGACAAAGCCTACCTAAAATGTAGATGATACAAGTCAGCACACTGCTCCATTTGGCCATTATCTGCTCTTCCCCTTTGGGAGTGTGTCTAACACAGAGGGGTCCTTCTGGGCACTGCTCCACTTCACCGCAATAAACATTACCACCTCTGGACTCTGTGTATCGCTTACAATTCTTTCAATGGAGATTTCAAAAGGGAAGGTAGAGGGAGAGCCTGATGGCATATAATATCCTCATGGTGTCCTATTGTCACACATGTGGTTCCTGCCGGTGAGCTGATTTCTCTCCAAGCTGCATGTATCTTAATCGCTGAGTCTGGGTCACAACTGACGCATGAAAGGAAATAATGACAGAGAGAAAGGCTGTGAAACCCTTCTCAACAAGACTAACAGCTAAGAAAGCACAGAGTACGGGACATGTGTCCCTACCCGTCCATCACAGGAGCCTCCGGGCTTCTGACCCTTACCCAACTCTGGCTCATTTCCATTCTCTAAAGCACTTTTCTTCCTCAATAAACCACCTCTGTTTGCATCTCTATGCATTTGTCCCAAGTCCAGTGCCTTGTCCCAAGAACCTGGAAATCTCCGTGGGGGTGTCCTGAAGACCCCACCCTAGTCTCCATACATCATTGCCTCCTAAATTAACCAGGCCAAGGAGAAAACATAGTTTCAGACCGCAAGCCCAGTTCTCACTCTACACACGGAGACAGATGCAGCCTGAAAGAGACAACAGAATAATTTAGGCTAGAAATTCTACTTGGGAAGGAAAGGAAAACAAAATGTTGGTGCCTGGAACTGCCAGATGGACCATCTACATTCTCATATTTACTAGGTAATTGTTGAGAAAAAAAAATGTTCCCCTAAAAAATATTTGCAAATATTTCCAGCCAAACGATCAGCATTAAAAGTATCTGGTCAATTAAATACATCAAAATAAAATGGCTATCTCTATCAAAAAGTATTTGGAAACCCTCATTTTCAAAGCCTGACCCCGCTGGGCCAATAAAAACAGATGAGATGTTGCCGTAACTCAGACTTTTATTTGAAATTGCATTATGTTTGATATCCTGTATATGCTTTCAAAACAGCACATCGGTTTTTAAATGGTTATATGGGCCTGTCCAAAACGTAATCTGCTGCTCTTGTTTCTTCATTGTTCAGCTTTTCCCATTGCTGCTGAGAAGGACCAGTATCATTAAGACTCCAGTTTCTACGGTCATGGTTTCCTTAATAATCTCAGAGTTGTCTATTGTTGTTTTCTTATGTATGTATCTACCCATTTTGGGGGAGAGGTACATGGGCAGTCACCTGTACATATACAGGTACCCATGCAAGCACAAGGATGCTAGCTGTCTTCCCCGCTCTCTCCACCTTATTTCATGAGACAGGATCTCTCACTAAACTTGAGGCTGGCTGGCCAGCAAATTCCTGGTACCTCAGTGATTACAGGTGTGCAGTCATGCCCAGCTTTTATGTGGGTGCCAGGGATTTGAACTCGGGTCCTCTTGCTTTCATAGCAAGCACTTTTACCCAATGACCTGTCTCCTCGGCTCTTCTCAAAGCTGTCATTCACTTCACTATATAAACAGCTTCGTTCCACTAACGACTATGCAATGTATGAATGTTTTGGTGTGTGTGTGTGTGTGTGTGTGTGTGTGTGTGTGTGTGTGTGTGTGTTTCAACAGGCACCTTAATACTTTGTTTCAGAACACTACCTGTCCCACCATCAAGTCAGACCTTCACCCAAACAGGAAACTTGTCTAACACATCTCTCCACCAGACACTTGTTCCTCTAGATCCAGAAGTCCACCCCTACCTGCTTTCTCAGTATCCCCTCTGCAGTGACAGTGAGAAAGGCTACACCCTTTCCAAAGGGAAGAAGCAAGGAGCATGACCCCCCACCCCCACTCCAGCTCACTCTCTGAATTCTGAGTTATGACCCCAGGACTCCTGGCAAGTCCTTATGGAGCTTGGTTTCTGGTGTGGAGGAGGGAAACGGCCAAGGGACTCATTAAGTGTCCACTTCAATGCCTCTGTCTCAAAAAGCCTTTCTGGCTTTTCTGTGTTTGGAAGCCATCCTGCCCTGAATCCACTTGCCCTGTCTCAGCTTATCACCAACCCACATTCCCAAGTTCTGGGCCATGTTCTTCCCGGGCTGTTCCAGGCCCTCTGACAGACAGAATATTAAGAGATGGCTGCACACAGCAAGAATGACAGACTGGTCTGTCTGTGACTACGCCCCCTTTTCCAGCCATACTGGAGTGTCCTGCTTTGGATCCAGGGGGTCTGCTCTAGCGATACTCTAGCGGGAACCACACATGTGACCTCAAAACCTCAAGCTCAAAATCTCTAGGGGCAAACCTTTCCTTGAGACCAAGCTTTGTAGCTCAGGATGACTTTGAACTTCTGATCCTTGCACTTCCTGATCCCAGGTGTGGGGAGTGCAGGCATGCTCCACCATGCCTGATTATGCTGGGGATCGAACCCAGGGCTTCATGCAGCCAGTACTCTCTCAACTGTGCTACACCCCTGTCCCTCAAGAGAGTCTTTATTTGGCAGCCAAATTATCCTGTACTTCCATAATTGCCGATCTAAACACAGTCACACAATCAGTCACGGGTGCATGCAGGTAATCCCAGCACTCAGGAAAATAAGGAATTCCAGGCCAGTTTTCACTCTACGGCAATGAAGACCCGATCTCAAAAACCAACCAATCAAACAAAATCTTAATAAATAACATTAAAAACACACTGTTAGTCTCTGAGCAGAAGAGGGCAGCAGAGCACAGACCTTAAAACGTTAGGCTTGGAGTGGGTTTATTTATCTCTACTAAGTTCCTGCTTGAATTTTCATGGTTTTTTGACCATTTCCCTCCAAAGTACATTTCCAATTAATAAGGACTGAAGTGATCTTGGAAACCACATAACATCTAAATACCAGTGCACGGACTAATGTACACTTGGACATGAAGGTACTGTAATTCTTCACCATCACATTGAGAGCCACACGGCTCGTACGATGGAACTTTATACAGCCATAAGGAAATGAAATCAGGACATTTGCAGAAAATAGATAGATAGATAGATAGATAGATAGATAGATAGATAGATAGATAGAACTAGAAATTATTATACTGAGCAAAGCAACCCAGACTCAGAAAAACAAAAGCCATGTGTTTTCTCAACTACAGATCCAAGACTTAAATTTTTATATGTGTGTATATAAAGGGGTGAGTTACAGGTCTTGCTAGAAAAGAAACCCTTGAGATGAGGAAAAAGGGCATCCTGGGATGGAGAGCAAGGGTGGCAGGGGGATAAAGATAAAGAAAGAATACTAAAAGACCCCAGAGGAGGAGGACCAGCAAGAGATGGATGGGTGTTCTGGGGAAGGGTGTGGGAAAGGATGATCAGCGAAAACAAAGGGTGTGTGAAAATTTCTTAAAGAAACCCTCCACTTTGTATGCTAATTTAATTTTTTGGCAGCTTCTGGCCTGGGAACAAACTCAGCTTTAATTCTGAACACGATACAGGGAGCCTCGAGGCCCAGAGCACAGCAGTCTCTAGGCTGCTTTGTCTTTCTAGCCCCACATCCGGTTCAGAGGTGCACCCTGCTGAGAGAGGACAGTCAGGCTGCCTATCTGGATGCACTTCCCATCACCACTGTGTCATCTGAGACGGTGAGAACCAAACTCAAGATGAGGAACACTTACTTACCCTGCTCTTCCCCAGCCCATAGAATGGCTCCATTATCACATATGGTCTAACGCCCCAACCAGCCCATTTCTCCAT